CCTTGTTTTGCTCTCAAATGCTCTGATAGACAAAAAGCTTGGGAAACTAAATTATCCCGTCCGAACGCAGCCCACCTTTAGTTTTTTTTTTTTTTTCAACATTTCTCCAGAAACTTCAGAGCACCAACCCCAGGGACAAATTTCGGCTGGGTCCCATTATCCTCGTTGGTCCTCCTGGACGGCTCCCCAGGCCGCAACAGTTTGAACCACGTATCCGAATAATTTAGGCGCAAACCCAAACTCTCCTCGCTTCTCTGGCGGGATGCACGCGGTTCTAAGTAAACTCCGAATTCGGTGCGTAAAGACCCTAGAGAACCGCCTCCTCTCACACACACCCCCAGCACAAAACCCTGCGAGGCACGCTCCACACTCAAAATGTTTTCTCCCTTTCTCCTGCAGGGTCCCTCGTTTAAACAGCGTCGGCGCCTTTATTCGCTTGACCCTGTGCGCTGGAAAACCCGCCTGGTCGGTCATTGTCTGGTCCGCGATTGCCCCCACCCCCGCCCCAATCAGTGTCACAAAACGCCCCTTTCAACAGATTCCAAACCCTCTTCACCCGGGCTCACCGAGCCTTCAACTTCATTAAGCGCGCGCTACTGCGGCTCTGGAGGAGGCGAAGTTTAAATAAACCAGAGCGGAGAGGGAGGAGTGGTGGGCCTGGGGGTATGGGAGTTTCTAGTGGAAAGGAGGAGAAAGAAGTGTTTTTGAAAAGGGGAAAAAAGTCATCAGGGAACAGGCGCTTTGTAACCACGAAGACGCGCCCGCTGTGGCGAGAACAAATTGGATATGGAGGGGAAGTGTCCGCCCCCACCTCAACTCCGGCTTCTGGGTGGTCTGGGGAGCCCCAAGAGAAAGAAAGAAAGAAAGATTCGGAGGAATAAGCGATGAAAAGAATTAACCGCTTTAATTGGGCTGCCAGAGAGAAGTGAGGAGAGGCTCGCCGATGTGCTTCGATCACCCAAACCAAATACCTTTCAATAAAATAAAATGTCTGCTCTTAGCCGCAACTGAAAAATGTATGTCAAAGTTTGATAATCAAGGCTGTTCTTCACAGCCATAGAAAGTAAATCTGCAAGATGGGGGAAATTCTGCCCGGAAAGACCCCCTCCCCTTCCTTGTGGCCTCTGGCCTCCCGGCGCCGGATGAAAAGGAATGAAATTGAACGAAATTGAACGAAATGAAGTGAAATTGACCAGTGAAATTCGCCAATTTTCTTCCCCTTTAAACTGCCCGCTCTCAGCAGCACTCTCTGAACCCCAGGCCGATTTCTTACCATTTTTTTCTCACCTCTGAGAGATGAAGGTGTGCCCTGAATATTTTCTTATTATTGTCACCAATTGTGGGGATCTGCCGTGAGCAGCACCTCAGCTGCCTTCACCCAAGCAACCAGGGAAACTGCAGAAGCCATACAGGTGGGAGGGCCTATTTTTCCTCCCAGGCCCTTAAATAAGTCTTCTTAAATTGAACATCCACCCTACACACCCACAGGTTGGGAGGGAGCCACTGATTGAGTCCCTCCAGGTTAGAGATAGAAAAAAAAAAAAATAGCTGGGAGGAGGACTCTACCATACAATCCTCCAAGTCCCTAATCCTTGTCTTTACAGTCCAGCTTCCAGATCGGCCCTTCCCAGCTCCTAAAAGGTTCCCCATTAAGCCAATCTAATGGAGTCCTTAATTCCAAATACTCTCCCTTCACCCCTGCCTTCAGCATATGGAGCCTCCAGGGCTCCCTTGACAACTCCCTTTCTGGGTATTTTTCAAGGCCAATTGGGCATCAGTGGCTTCTCTCTGGCCTAAGTCCTTGGCCATAATTATATCTGACCCAGGTCTGGCCTCTTTGAGCCACTAGGAAACTATGGTCTGAGGCCTTAAAAGTTACCTGAGAGCCCCCTGTAATGACACATCTTACTCTTCTTCCCCAATCCTCTTATTTCCATTTTTTCCTGATATGGACCCTCCCACACCTACATAGACACCAAGCACTATTTTCGGATAAACTCACACACACACTCACAAAGACACATTAAGGAAGCTAGAGAGGTCTGCTGCTTCTGTTATAGAGAGCAACTGGGGAAGCATCTCATCTATCTACATATTAGATATGAATTCTAGCTGACTCAATTTTCTTTCTTTTAAAGAAGAACAACCACTACATAAATCTTTTACTTAAAGCTCCAACCTAAAATATCTGGGAGTGATATATTCATGGTAAATGAGATCATTAAGCTGCAAAGCGCTTCACTGAAAGCACACATGCACGCATGTGCACCCACAGACACACACATACAGAGATCACATTCACCCCTCCTCAAATGAAAAGAAATGAAATCAAACTCAGAGCAATAGAAATCAACAAAGCAGCCAGCCAGAGACCATTATCCTAAGATCAGCGGACATTTCTCCCTTTTTACCACTGAACCTAACCTTACTTCTCCTGAATCATTTCATAAAATGGTGGGAAATGTGTTCCACTGCATTCACCCTCCCTCCCTCCCTCCACTCCCACAGTCTCTCAGTAAGGAGGAGGAGAGCGGTCCCTCACTTCTGGGAGAGGGACTGTATTTACTAATATGCATTTCTGAGCCTTCTCTCCCCTCCACTAGTAAAGAGGTTGAGAGACCTGGGAGTCCCAGCAACCTCTCCAGTCTCTGGTGTATTCTTCCCACCCTCATCCTGATACTGATCTTCTTTCTGTAGGGGCCTCTGTCCTCTACTCTGCCTGCTTTCCCATTTCTAGCTAATGGGGCCTAACCCTCTCAAGTTCTGCTCACTCCTCTCAAGTTCTCTGCATCTGGGCCTCTGACCCTGCCTTCTTCTTTCTGTCTTCCTGTCACTTCATCTCTCAACCCTTGCCCTCAACCAATGTTTGTTTTCTGTGAAGCCTGCATTGGTATCAGCAGACATTTCTCCCTTTCTTACCTATAATCTTACTGGAATTTACAGAGAAAAGAGCTAAGCAACCATCTTTCCTTCACCCAAAGCATCACTACTCACCCAACTCACTTGCACTCCTGGCCACTGGGATTCCCAGACATCAGCACAGAGCTGGGAGGTTCGATTGGATTATGGAAGGCTGGAACAGACCAACTGATTTGCACTGGGGCTTCTGACTCAGGAGCCTGAATCAAGGGATGGGAAGTTTTACCTAACAGAGTGAAACCGCACTGACTCTCCCCTTCAGCTCATAGTGCACTGCTACCCTCTTGGTGGCAGGAAAGAAAGAGTTTACAGCCCCCAGTTCAAGCCTTTCGCTCTGTTACATGTTGGAACAGGAGAGGGGGTCCGAAGGCCCTACAGTGGCCAAGAGAAACCCCTCTCCTCCTAGAGACAGTAATGGTGACTGAGAATCACAAACACACACACCCATGTTCACAGACATACACAGAAATAAAACAAAGATATCCTGAAATATAATTCATAAAAAAGATAAAAAGAACGGATACGCATGCTGACCCAAACACAAAAACAAATTACAAGCCCCATAAAAGTCTTATACACAGAGGCATACAGAATATGCATCGGAGACATATCCAGCTGGAATTGAATTGTACTTAGTGGGGATAGTATTCATGAGTACTTAGCACCCAGATCTACCACACTAAAGTCTTAACCAGAAAGAGATGAGAACCCTCAGGTGCATTTGAAATACAACCCCTCTGCCAAATTCCAGGCAAAAACTTCTTAGGAGCAGATCGAAAATGAAAGTGCTGAGGGGCAGGGGGGGGCACAGTCATCCCAGAGACCTGGCCTTATCAGAAGCTGAAAGCCAAAACAGAAGTGCACCTGGTATCCTAGAAGTCCAAGCCCTCCTTTGCCGGCCTGGGTTGCCCAGGGGCATTTCCTTACCACTCCCTGCTGGGGAGCAAAGGGTCTTCTGAGAGAGCCCCAAAAGGGACAAGGGAGTACAGGCAAACAGAACTGGTGACTGCTGAAGTTCACACACATTTATTCAATTGACACCAATCCGGATGGGGGTGAGACAGGCTTTTTCCCTTTCTTCCGCACAAACCATCAGATGATTTCACAGCCTCCCCACAGTGGAGAAATCTAAAGCAATGCACACCCAGTGGACAGAGAATGAAGAGACAGCCCGCTGTACAGATATTTACACATAATTACAGGACCCCTGCCACAGGGTATGCCCTCGCCCACCCCACCCCATCTCTCCAGTCCCCGGCCCAGACCCTTCTCTCCCTCCCAACCTCATTGCCTTTAAGCCTCAATAAATATGGTAGAGCCAGGGACAGAGCAGAATGCTGAGAGGTCTGCTGGACCCGATGGCTGGACCCAGCCGGCCACGGAATAGGGGTAAGTTCCTTTTAAAGCACCCGAACACAAAAGAGAAAGGATTTTCCTCAGTGGAGTGGGATCCAGGGTTTCTGCAGGGATTATGAAGATCCCCATTTCACCTCTCCGTTCAGCTCCGCCTGTGTAGACACCGGTTTAGATTTCAAAGGAAACGAACTTCCTTGAAGAACAGCAAAAAAAAAAAAAAAAAAAAAAGTTGAATTTTTCTTTTAAGCACAACGCGGATAACAGATGTCTTTAAATTATAATTGGACAAGGTGAGTCTCAAAATTGGAGAAGTAGTGAGGAGGAGAGGCAGAAAGGTACACCTCTCAGCGCAGTTGGTGTTTCTGTCGAAATCAGCAGGGCCTGGGGCAGGCATCGCTCCGGGAATGCATTCTTCCGGGCTGCCAGAGAGGTGCAGAGGCAAGGGGGAAAACGAAGGCTTCCCCTCTCTATCACTGCTCAGACTGGATTGGGATCTTGGCTTGCGACCTCTTCATGCAAAGACCTGGGCCTCGCCCTGAGCAATAGAGCCCGCTTCGTCCCAACTATCAGCGAGATTCCTAGCGTGAAGCTTGAAGTGTCAAGTCACACACGCCGGTCCAAGGTCTTCAGACTCTTCATAAATAGACTCCCTGAGTTCCGCTGGGACCGCGGGAGCTCCTGGGAGAAGCTGAGCCCGGACCTAAAAGGCCCTGAGACCGCTGTGGTCAGAAGTGGCAGCCACTGAGGCCGGCGACTTTGCTGGCAAACGGGGACCCTGAGGACAGAAGTGCGTCCCCAGGATGCGACAGGCGAATGTGGCCGGCTACAGGAGCTAGGGCCGGGGCAGTCAGCATGGCCAAGACCTGGGCTTGACCCCCAGGACCGGCGGCTGCCGCGAATGGCGGTCCTGGGGAGCCCTCACCACTGCCCGGAGGTGCTGTCCCGCTGCCACCGCCACCACCACCGTGGCCCATTATGTGGTCTATAGAGAAGGAAGGCCTATGTCCTGCCCCGGAGCCCCCGCTGCCTGCAGCACAGCCCGCGTCCGTCTTGAGTCCCTGGCGCAGAAGTGCGGTGGATAGACTGGCCGCAGTGCCCGCCGCAGGAGGGCTCAGGGACGCAGGGTAGAAGGTTTTGGAGCAGCCCAGCTCTGCACCCAGGAAGGCGGGCAGGCCTGCGGGGCCTGGGCCTGACCCTGGGGCAGGCGCAGGGGCTGGGGCCGATGCTGCGCCCGCGAACACCGAGGCCGTCGGAGGTCCGGGTGGAGGAGCAGCAGCGCGGCCTGGGGGAACCGACAGCTGGCAAGGAGCAGCGGCGGCTGCAGCGGCAAAAGCGAAGGCGTGCGGGTGTGGATGCGGATGCGGGGCCGGCCCCGGCGGGGGTGCGCCGTAGGCCGGGAGAGCCAGCCCGTAGCCATAGCCATAGGCGCCATAAGCAGTGAAACCCGGCAGGAAGGCGCCAGGGTCCCCCGCTGCCGCGGCCCCGCCACGCAACAACAGCTCCGGGTGCGGATGCGGGTGTGGATGCGGCGGTGGTAGCGGCTGCCGTTTGAACCTCTTGCGGCGCCGCAGGAAGCTGCCGTTGTCGAACATGTCGGCCGACTCCGGGTCGAGCGTCCAGTAGTTGCCCTTGCCCGGGTTGCCCGGCTCTCGGGGGATCTTGACAAAGCAGTCGTTGAGCGAGAGGTTGTGGCGGATGCTGTTCTGCCAGGCCGGGAACTTCTCCCGGTAGTACGGGAAGCGGTCGCTGATGAACTGGTAGATGTCGTTTAGCGTGATGTTCTTCTTGGGGGTGTTCTGGATGGCCATGGTGATGAGCGCGATGTATGAGTAGGGCGGCTTCACTAGCGGGCTCCGCGTCGCCGCGCCCCCCGACGGCGGTCCCGGCCCTGGCCCCGCCGCGCCTCGGGCTGCGGCCGCGCCTGGCCCTGGGCTTCCCGCTGCGGCCGCCGCCCCCCGGGGCGCTAGAGCGCGAGGCTCGCCCTCCGAGCAGCCACCCGACTCCTCCTCGTCCTCTGCTATGTCTGCCTCGGCTTCCTCCGGGGGAGTCTCGTGGCCGTGGGGGAGCACGTCCCGGGGGGCTCGGGGCCCGGAGCGGGCTGGGAGCTCCCCCCCACCGCTGCCGCCGCCCACCACGTCTATGTCTGCGTCGGCCTCGGACAACGCGGCCGGGGAGCTCTCGGAGGACATGATCTCGCAGCAGCAGCTGCCCAGGGTCATGGTGCCGCCGCCGCTCTCCGGCTCCGCTCCGGCCGCGGCTCCGGCTCGGCCGCGCTGCCTCTGGGGCTAGCGTGTTTTGCGCGCGGGCGGGGAGGGGGCGGGGGACTGAGGCTTGTAGGGAGGGGTGTCCCCCAGCTCCGCAGCGCCCCCTGGTGACCCAGCTTGGCCGCTTTCTCCTGCCAGTGCGCACCCAACTGAAGGCTCCCTCCTGTCCCGGGAGCGCGAGCTGGGAACCGCACCCGGGGCGCCGACGGAAGGAGCTGAGGCTACCCCTTACCCTGGCGGATCTCAGCCCCCTGTCCCCTTCGCTGGGAGTGGTGGGGTTGGGGGATTGGTCCCTCCCGCCTAGCGCTGTCTAAGGCGGAAGAACCGCGGGCCCGGGGCGGAGCTCCCTGGGCGGGGTGAGTTAGGGTAGGGTAGGGGCGGGGCGGGAGGTGGCGGGCGAAGAGCCTCAGAGTAGGGGCCCAGCGGGAACAAACCGCCTCCGCCGCGGGAGCTGGGTTAGGTGGTTGGAGGCGGGTCCTCCGTTTCCCCGCTACTACCCCAAACCCTTTGCTCCCTGGAGCCTCCTCCTAAAGTGCGCTCAGCTCCTGGAGGTGGCGTTAGCCTGCTGGAGCCCGGATAAGTGGCGACGGCCCCCACTCTTCTTCTGAAGGCGGCTCTCAGGCCACCAAGGCCGAAACGTAGTTGGAGCACGAGCGGGAGCCTGAGACTCTGGGACTTACGCCGCCAGAACGGGGCCAGTCGCGGCCCGCAGAATCCCAGCAGTTTCCGGCCTAAGAGAGAGAAGCACTTGAGTGATCCCAAGAAGCAAACTTGGAGCTTTCTGCCTCGGGCCTCGGAGAGGTGAGATACTGACTGTGCTCTTTTGCCCTGCAAGGACAGGGGCCCGCCACCCATCTCCTCTCGGGGAGACCCAGGGAGTTCGCCCCTGCTCGAGGTCTCCTCCCCGAAGCTTCTGTGCGGCGCTGCAGTCGCATTCCCGAGGCGCGGCCGGGTCCATCGATCCGTACTCCTGGGTATACTGTCTTGGTATCCTTTTGTCTCACTATCTTTGATTCTGTATCTCTCATCCTCCGTGAATTTCTGCCTCCGTTTCCTTTGGAAACGGCATTTGGGTGTCTAGTCATGAGCCTGGGAATCCTTCGTTTAATTTCTCTTCTCCCCCACCCCTAGTTTCACTCAGGACTGCCCTCCCCCCTTTCTGACTGCCAGACTTGCAGGCAGGCAGCAGGATACCGTCTCCGCGCTCCCTCCCCACTTTCTCCCGGAACACTGACCTCAGCCCCGGGCCAGAATTGCCTTTATCTCTCAGGATCTTGTGTAAGTTTGGTCCTGTGCATTCTTTCTTGCCAACCAGGCTCCTGCCCAGCCTATCAGGCCCCTTTCTCTTCTGGCCTCGTTCCAGGACCCAGAAATGAGCGCCTTCAACATAGATTGGGCCCATTTTCAATTTCTGGGGTGTGGAGAGGAGATGGGCCCCGGACCCGGACAAGAGCGGATGGTTGGCTGTACCCCGACAGCGCCGCTCAGTGGCCAACGCTCCGGCATGCGAGCTGAGTCCCAGCTGTGCTCCGCTACTAGACTCTTAATTAGGTAACTTCCCTTTCTGAACCTCAGTTTCCTGGTCTGCGTTGTAGTTAAGAGTTAGAGATCCTGGAGTCAGGCTGCTGGGGTTCCAGTCCTGTCCTCACTACTTACCAGCTATGTCACCTTGGACAAATTTCTTAAACTTTTTGTGCCTCTGTGAAATTAAAAAACCCATACTGTATAACTAATGTGTAAGAGTGGCCATGTTCTAGGTTATTTATAAAGATGATACTGAAAGCACTTTGCAGATTCTTGGGGCTCTGTTCTCTGAGAGAGAAAAAGATTAAAGGTCATGAAGTCTTCCACCTGGATCTCAAGCCCTAGTCCAGCCTGGGAATGGGTTACTGACTGGATTACTGACACCATCTTCAATCTGTGTGGTCCCTGTAGATAAGTGCTGGGAGCACAGTGGAAGGTAATTCCCAGAGGGTTGTATTTTAACAAGGTGTGTCAGGGTGGATGAATTCTCTCTTTTACCTAACAGCAGCCTCTAATCTATGGATTATTGTAGAATAGTCTAGTGTTAATGCAACTCTCCCATTACACAGAGGGGGTTATAAAGACCCAAAGAAGGGAGAAAGGAGTCACCCAGGCTCCTACTATGAGATGGAGTAGGGCTGGGTTGCATTCCTTGTCACAGAATCCTCAGTCTTCCCAAGCTAGGAGCAGAAAGGGATGGAAGATAGGTCTAGCTACTCATATCCTGTGAGAGCAAGTCCCTTGGGCCCCCTCTGGACCTCTGACCAAGGGAATACTCTTAGTGCATTGGATCTGCTTAAACAGACTATCCTCAATAAAAAGAGAAGAGGTCCAGTCCTCAAACTATGGACAGCAAATCAGACAGGAATGGGTTAGTGGCCCTGGGATTCAGGTTTTTCTGGGTGACAAAGCCCTCCAGAAGAAAATAAGAAAGTATTGGAAAGAAGTTTCTTATTTGCATCCAGATAAATTGACATACCTAGAGTTGCTAGACTTATTTTACTCGGCAACCCTGGACATACCTCAAGCTTGCTCTTTACTACATGGATATCTCTCTCACCCTTCCAGGACCCCACTCATAGATACGCCACACCACGGACCACACACTGACTCCAATCCAGCTCAACTCTGCTAGTGCCTAAATAGGTGGAGAGAAAAACAATATTGTCATCATCTTACACCATTTCACCTTCTGAATGTCTTCATTTCTAAAATGGCAAATGGAAATCAGTAGCTTCCCTCCTTGGCAGCACTCTTCTGCTTCCCCAGACTCCATTCCTTCACCCAACTCCTGGATAAGACTTGTGGAGACATTTGCTCAACTTCCCTGCTTCTAATGCTTCACAGGAAAAGCTCTACAGAGCAGCCGCAGTGGCCAGCTGAGCCTCTGCCTGGGCCAGGTGTACATTGGTTGCTAGTGAGACCCACCTTAGAGGAAGGGAGTACAGAAACTCCAGCCTCTCCTCTGCAGGGTAGAGGTGGGACAATTTTTTTTAAAACAGAGTCTCACTTTGTTACTCAGGCTTGAGGGCCGTGGTGTCATCCTATCTTAAGGAATCATCCAGACCCTTCTCACACATACTTTTACAGGAATGGAAATTAAGACCCAGGAGATCATGTTACTTATCAGGTTTTTAAGGGGCCTTAAGTTGGGGTGGACACACGTAGGTGTCCAGGCTCCCAGCCTAGAACTTCTCTGTTTATCCAAATAACTCTGCTTCCCTGACCAAGCTCCACTCTGAAGAGGGAGATTTCTGGTAGTGTCTCACCCTCCGGGCCAATTTCTTTTAAATAATGTCAGCAGTAGGTGCACTGGGGGCTGGGAGGATTCTTTCTGCTTTTTTCAGCTTCTCCACCGCCCTCCCCCCACCAACAGTCCCCCCTCGACTTTCCCACCCTCTGGCTCAGTCTTTTGAGTGTCCTCAGCAGTATCCGCAACCCTCATGAGCGCGTCACTCCCTCTGGATAAACCTGGAAACTTTCCCAGAAGCCTGGAAGCCAGCACCCACCTACAGCAGCCTCCAAGCGGGAAAGGCTGCAGCCCCTCCCTCCTGGGCCTCCTCCCTCATCTGCCTCACTGCCTGGCCACCTTCCTTGGGTAGCCCCGGACAACTGGGAGGCAGCGTTTTGGGGGAAGTGCCTGTTTGAGGTTTTCTGCTCCAAAATGTTTGGATAACCAGTGAGAAGTTGTTGAGTGTTTATCGAGAAGTATAGGCTGTCGGCGGGTCAGGCCAACTCTCCCTCCCTCCTAGAGTCCCTGTAAACTAGCAGTTCTCTGCTAGGGGAAAGGAGAACCCTCTGGCGATTATACGAGTATAATTTCGTCAATCTTGAAATCGGCAAAAAGCAGCACCAGCTAGAAACGGAACACGTCCCGAGTCCCAGCCCCTAGCGATCACGCGCGCCCTTTCGGTGGTTTGAGCTCTGCGAGCGCGAGGGTCTGGCCCTCCACGCAGATGCTCTGCAGGAAGAGTCCTGAACTGGTCAGGGGGCTCTGTGCTGCTGGATACTTCTCTAATTTTATTAACAAAATTAGCCAGCCTCGGGGAAAGCGATGAAGCCAGCGCTTCCACTCCGGTAGGGGCTGCCGCTCTGGAGCCAGAGGTTTTTCTAACCTAATCCAGTACATCTCCACCCGGATCTTTGCCTACGCTGGGGCTATCAGCTCCTTTGGCCCGGGAGGAGGGTGGGTGGGTAGGGAGTTCAGATCGTGTGACAGCTTCTCAGGCACAGGAATGACAGAGACTCCATCTTGTTGCCTCCACCCCCCACTCCTGCAGCCCACCTATCCACCCCAGACTCGAGGATACAGGCGCCTGGCACCTCTGCTCCTCAGCGAGGCAAAGTTCCAGACTACGAATTGAATTTCATCTTTCTTTCCTTCCATTACTCCTGGCCACTGTCCCCTCCCAGGCCGGTCCATCCCACCCCATCCCCACTACATCCGGGAGCTCATCTGAGCACCCACGGCTGGAACACAGCACAGCACTTGAGACAGCGAGCTGTGGAGCCTGACGACTCTTGTTCGTGGGAAGAGGGTTGTGGCTTTGGAGAGAGTGAAAACAGCGCGGCTCAAAAAACGCCTGACCTTGGGCGCGAGCTCCGGATCAGGGTATGGAGAGACACTTCCAAGAGCGGGTCTAAGTATGCTCTCGTGGGTTCCTTGATCCTCTTTGTGTCTGCCCTCCGGATGGCAGTAGCTGTGTGTGGCCGACTACGCCCCAGCGCAACTAGCGCCCTGTGTCCTCCCCTCCCAAACTCAGGCTGTGTCTGAAGAGCAGGAGAGACTTGGGACTGCCCTGGAAGGCTCGCCATCCATACTCACAGCTTTTCCGCTGTGACCTGGGGATTTCAAACTCGCTTGGGGCCAGGTGGGGTAGAAGGGTGCCGCCTTGGTATGAGTGTGACTGTGGTGGGGAGAGGGAGGAGTT